TATATATATATATATATATATATATATATATATATAATATCATCATCTTATTTTACCTTTTCCTGTTGGTATCCTACATAGTGGTAAGAGCCGTAGTGGCACAGTAGTTAGAATGCAGTATTACAGACTAATTCTGCCGACTGCCATGAGTTTGATTCTGACTGGCTCAAGGTTGACTCAGCCTTCCATCCTTCTGAGGTTGGTAAAATGAGGACTCAGATTGTTGGGGGAAATATGACTCTGTAAAGAGGGCTGTAAAGCACTGTGAAGTGGTATATGTCTAAGTGTGATTGCTATTTATCACTCGTTTGTATCATGATTTATGATCTATGACTTATAACTTTGTTGTTTGAATGTACACTGAGAGCTTATGCACCAGAGACAAATTTCTTGTGTGTGTAATCATCCTTGGCCAATAAAGAATATTCCATTCCATCTTGTGAATTCAATAGCTCAACTAGTAGCGAAGGAAAAAGGAGCAGAGTCCCAGCAGCTTTTTGGTGTGCCCATAAATCCTGCTTTCTCCACAAAAAGACTGCTGCTCATATCATGAAAGTATCTTAGCAAAACTACAGTCCTCCTATCATTCTATCAGTGGTGAAAAAGACAGTAATCATCCCCCTCTTTACTGCATCTAAGCCAGCTTCTGGCAATCACCTCCTTCATTTTGACATTCTGATGAAAGGTTTTCCTGATCCCTGTTCTGTAACTTTCTTGGTTTAGAATGTCAAAAATAAAAATTTACTAGTAGAAAATGAAAGTAAATATACACGTCCCAGGATAATGTTGCCAGATCCAATCTGAGTCAGTCACCAGAACTATAGGTCTATTCTTCCAAGTTTTGGGGAACTTCTCTCTCTCTCCAGAATATGTGCATTGGGCTGTTCTATGTAATGTATGTATATGGTGCCTGGTTGTGTGTCTCTTTTAGTTCTTAATTGGGATATTGATGGCTGACTATTAAGTCGTTGATTGTTGTATCCTTGTGCCAATGTGCCCTTGGCTCCTAAGTACCTGTTTAACCGGTGGTAAATCAGCACTGCTGTTGTCTGACAAGGAGCCTGTTTCCCAGACTGCAATCAGTTTTCTGGCTATTTTTGTTCTGTTCAACCAACAATCTAGTAGCTGCATAATTGAATGCATGATCTTATTGATTGCAGTGTGTGAGGCCACCAATGAATTAGGATCTCCTCTTTTAACACTTACTCGTGTTCTCGAAATCTGGTGGTTAGCTCCCTCCCTGTCTGGCTCATATAGTTTCAGGGGCAATCCATGCAAGGAATCTGGTAAATTGCATTCAAAGTTTCTCCCACTTCCAAACGAACTTTGTCATGCATGATTTGTCCTTGTATAGTAGCAGTGGTCGATGTCTACTTGCAGATCTCAGAAGTTGTATATTCAGAGATATGTGTCACGTTCCAAGTATCATGCAGAATTAAATCAGAGTCAAAGGCAAAATGATCCTTAAAGTTCCAATTTAATAAGTCAGACATCTT